GCCTGCCAGGGCCTGATTGGAAGTGGAGGTAGTGGTAATGGGAAGGAGGTAACTTGATCCAGAGAAGATTCAAGAGCCTGAATCCATGGGGTCTAGTTCTAAGGGGTTAGGAGGAGGTAGGACTCAGAGATGCCTCCCATGTGCCCAGCTTCAGCAGCTTGGTGTATGGAGGGAACTACAGAGCAGAAAATGTTTTCACAGGGTGGAAGAAGGAGATGTTGGGCAGGAGGTCTTGAGTTTGTGGTGCCCATGAGTCACCCTGGGGGAGATGCTCACTGGGGGAGCAGTGGGGACATAGGCGCAACACACAGCAGACACAGGCCAGTAGGTGCTCTGGGGTCAGCAGCCTCTGGAGAGTAATGCAAGCCATAGGAGTGCCTGAGGCTGCCGAGGAGGTGTGCAGTGTGAGAACAGAGAGTGGGGGCCAGAGAGAGAGGAAGAGAACTGGGTGGCTGTTGGATCATGGGAGCCAAAGCATGGGAAGAAGCAGAGATCGTTCAGCGCTGCCAGCTGCTGTAGAGTGTTGGGGAGGGCGAGCGTCCATGGATTTAACAACCAGGGCTAGATGGGGCCCCGGTGTGAATTAGAAAAAGGTGCTCTTTCCTCAAGGTGGTTTACTTCTATCAGAAAACTACTGTAACACACTGATTTTATTAGAACAAAACCCTTTACTGCCATCTGCGGGAAAATTGTTATAATAAATAATAAATGTATGATTGTCTCAGATGTGGTGCCTGTACAGCAGCCCTGGTTATTGGCAACCGCAGTAAAATCAGTCTTCAGGGGAGCAGAATGAAATTTACCAGAAAAGATGCTTTGAGTCGTGGGTAGCACACTATACCCAACCAACGATGGCTTCGACAATAAGGAATTTATGATCCCACATAACAGGACATCTGGAGGTAGGGCAGTTCCAGAGTTGGTCCTTTCTCAGTAGCTCTCTGGAAAACCAGGTCTTTGCCATCTTCTGCGTGTGGCTTTCATCCTCTGGCTTGCCCCTCCTCGTCGAAAGATGGCAATCATGGCTCGTCATTACATTTCTCCACAACAAGGTTAAAAGGCAGAGGAAGAAGTTGTGTCTCCTTGTGTGTCCTTTGTAATTGATGGGGGGATGGGACATAAAACTTTCTAAGAAACTTTTATCCTGCCCCCACCCCCATCACTATGACCACCTCCTCCACACTCTCATTGGTCATAAATGACTCACATGCCTCTTCCTAAATCAATCACTGGCAATGGTAACGGCTTTTCTGTGATTGGTGGTATCTAAGAAGACACCTCCCCCTAGGGCTGTGGCGGGACTTTCTCAGCACTTGGCCGTAGGGGAAGCTGACAGTATCAGGGTTATTTCATCCAAGAGGAAAAGAGGGTGGTTGTTGGAGAAGGAAGCACACAGAGTCTGCCACAGGAATACAGTCAGACTGCAGTGGGTGGAGGAATGAGTGCAAGGTAAGGAGACAGGGAGACGGCAGGTATAGATGATGCCCTCTGGAAATTTGTGAAGGGAGAAGAGACAACTGAAAGGAGACATGGAGGACAGAAATGATATTTTGAATGTGCTCTAAACATGTCTGAAATTTCTTGTCCAAACTTGACTTCATGAATTGTACCACCACTCATAAAGCCAGACATTTGGAGTCATTTGGAATTTATCTCTCATCCCACACACCCCTGCCCACTTCGGCCCTAACTAGTCATTCCTACAGGTCTATCAAGACTAATTGCCCAGTGTCTCTAGAATCCACTATCTCTGTGCCAGAGTTTTGCAACAGCAGCTCTATCAGTATTTCAAACTGGAACATTCTCTGTGTGTATAGGGACAGGGCCCCATGCATTAAAGGATGCTTAGCAGCTCCTGGATGCCAGTAGTGTCCTCACCCTCCACCCTTCAATTATGATGACCAAAAACATCTCTGGGCACCACCAAATGTGCCCTGGGAGCCCCAGGGTGGGTGTGGGGGGAATTGCCCCTGCTGAGTACCACTGCTCTGTGCTCATGTGGAAATTCTTATAGATCGTTGAACCAGTCTGCATACTCTGTTTCTCTCTTATCTTTCCCACCCCTTCCCTGATCCTGCAACCCTTGCTCCTTCATCAGTGTATTATAATTGACTATCTACTTGTAGCTCTTTTCTGCTCAGTGGTGAGCTCTGGAAACCAGGTTTATCTTGCTAGGCTTTGTATCTCTAGACCCTAGCATTCTGCCTGGTACACAAATAGCCAAATATATATTTACTTAATGAATGAATAAAAGGAATGAATAAATGAGTGAGTGAATCACTCCTGCCCTGCCTTTCAGATCTTGCACAGTTTGTTGCTGGACTAATAAGCCAGCCTTTAGAATGGCTCTCAGCAACTGGCCACACAATGTCTTAAGCAAATGTTCTTCACCACTTGTGATCACAGAACTTGTTGAGAACTGGGAGAGATCAGCAGACCTTCACCCCCCTCAAAGGCTGTAAGATTTATGTAACCTGAAGTCCATCCATGTGTACTCAGAGGACTCCTATTTCTCCAGACAGGACCTAAGCCAGAACTTTTCCCAGGCCATTGTTCTTCCTCGCCTTTAGGATGAAGTTCTAACTCCAAAACTGCCCACACAATGCCTTTCAACACCTGCTCTTGCCCTTTTAACCCCATTTTCCTCTCATCTCTCAGCACACTTCCCTGCAGGCTCCTTTCCCTCGATCACGCCCTGAACTAGCCTGGCTCACTGACACCTCTAGACGTGCCCTCCACCTCTGTGGCTCAGCACCCCTTTACCCTCTTAGCCACAGGGCACATCCAATACTCCACTCAGGTGACGTTTCTCCTCGAGGGTCTCCTGCTCTCCCTACCCCAGGGCAGTGGGTACCCCTTCTCTGCTCCTCCCAAAAGAGTACAAAAAAACATGGTTTCCTAATACACTTTTCAGAAGCCATGGAGGGTCGGGAGTCATATGTAACTCACCACTGCATCCTCAGAACCTGCTTTAGGGCTGCCATGTGGGGTATCACAACAGATGTTTGCTGAATGTGGTATCTCCCCGCCACCTACTCCCCACTCCCCTTGTTTTTGCTCAGTGGCCTATGCCAGGGAGCAGCTTCGACCCCAGCTCTGGGAATAATGCCAGTTTTAGACTGAAGCCCACCCTTATGAGGGCAGGGCAGAGAGAGAATGCAAGTTCTTAGTGACCTAGTTGAGGAGTTAGAGCAGCCCTCACCTGAAGCCAGTCCTGAACATTTTGTTTTCATAAAGCCATTAAATTCCCCTTACTTGTTTGAATGCTGCATTCTATTATCTGCAACTCAGAACAACAAGAAAAAGCAAATGAATGCATGAAAAAAATTAATGAGTGGGTACAATCAGTATTACCCTGAACTCTTTTAACCCAGCTGACAGATGCATGGTATGCATTTCTTTTTGTCTGTCTTCCTATATTTGGGAGAAAAGTGAACTTTCCTTCTAAAGCCAACCCCTTTCTCCTCCTCCCCAATAACTGGTTCCATTAATTATTCCACATTCTGGCTTATGTCTTTGATCTTCCCCTCCCCAGTGGCTTCCTCCTCTGTACCTTCCAATATTCTCAGGTCTCCTCAGCCTCTCAAGCTCTGTCAGCACCTCCTGAGGCCACAGCCCCACCTCCTTCTCTCTCTCACGTTCAATCTTCTCTGCAGAATGGCTGATTCTTGGGGCCTTTGCACAAGCCCACACTGCAGGTCCTCAGGGATAGCTCCCACCAGACTAACCTTCTCAGAAGAGTTTTGGACACTGGTCCCTGCCCCAAGTTCTGTGTGAGGTGTGGCCATCTGTCTCCAGGGTTCCAGAGTCAAGGTCTCAGGACTAGCCACCCAGGTCCTCAGGGCCCATTCAGAGCTGAACACAGAAGGCCGCCTCTGACCTGGCCTCCTCTGAAGAGAGTCTCACTCACCTCTTCCAGGAGGGCTCAGGTCATCAGCCCTGTGCCAATCACTTCCAGCCCTGCCAATCAGGTGGGGACCTGGCAGAGCCTTTGTCTAGATCTGATTGCAGTGAAGAACCAAGGGGTCTGGAAAGATCACCGTGGGGCCTTGGGGCCTGCGCCAAGGGAGCAGACTCACAGTGGGAAATAGGAGAAGTCCCCCTGGGTAATAGGAGAGGAGGGAGCCAGCTGTGCTCCAGAGTTCCAGCCCCTGGGGGAGGGAGACAGAGGCTCCTATATTAGAAACATGATGTTTTCATGCTTTTTGCTTTTTCTCTAAATATGTTCTTGCTGCTCCCATAGATTAAGCTTGATTCCTTCAGGAGATGTCAGACCCGTGGCAAATGCTTAGCTTCGGACCACAAGAAAAGGTGTGTTTATCCAGGCCAGACTTTGAAAGCAGTTTGAGGAAGCAGAGGGTAGGAATTGCAAGAAAGCCCAAGAGTATGGGGGACAAGGTCACAGCCAGGGGACCAGCAGTCCTCCCTGTCTGAGGAGTTTCTGGGCCAACCCATTCCTTGGGACTCCATTGGAATAAAGTAGAACCACTTCCCAGGTGTGGTCAAAGAAACTGGAAAGTACTAGTAACTACCACCTAAGCAAAGACACCTGGAAAAGGAGATGCCTGAGTCAGGAGGGGTGAGGGAGGGGGAAGTCCTGGAGACACAGAACACACTGGGTCTTTTTTTAAAATTGATTTGAGAGAGCGAGAAAGGGAGAGGGAGAGAGAGAGAAAGAGGGAAACATCGATTTATTGGACCACTTATGTGGATGCATTCATTGGTTGATTCTTATATGTGCTCTGATCAGGGATTAAACCTGCAACCTTGGGGTATCAGGATGACACTCTAACCAACTGAGCTACCCAGCAAGGGAAAGCCAGACACCAAGCCTCTAAGCCCACCCCACCCCCAACCAATCCTGTCAAAGGATCCACGGTCCCACTCAAAAGGCTGACCCAGAATGTCACATACCCCACTCCCACCCCACCTACCCAGATGCACACCCTGCACAATCCCACCCCATTCAGGCACTAAAGAGATACACACACCAACACAGCTTTGTGGTTCCAACTGTTTTATACCGAAATACACATGGGCTGATGCAAAAAGAGCTGGACTGGGGGGGAAAGAAACGATGAAAGTGGTGATCCCAGCGTTCGATGTCACCAACTCTCGGAGCATGTGCCAGTCTGCCTGTCTGTCTGCCACCCTGGTGGGACGGTCAGGCCTGAAGGTCTGGAGGAACTCAGCTGAGCTGGGCCGAGGAAACAGCCAGTCCTGGACCAGAGAGTCCTCAGCTGAAGGGTTTCACCAGCTTCATGGCAGCATAGTTCTAGAGGAAAGGAGGAGACAGAGACACATGACAACAGCTGCCAGGAGGGACAGAGCCGCAGAAGGAGGTGCACCTACTCAACCACCTGTCCGGACCTTGCCCTCACCTCTCCTTGCCTCACTCAGCTCAACACTACCCTCCTGGTGCTCTTGCCAATCACACAAGCCCAGACCTTCCTGGAACTCCTCTGGAACCCTTCCACTTGGGGGCCACAGCTCATCAGTCCGGGGCCCACTCTCATGTTCTAACCAGCTGCCAAGAGGGTTCTGACCAGCAGGGCCTGCCCCGGCCTCTTCCGTCAGACAGGTGGCCTGAAGGCATGGCCATGGCTCTCCCCTCCCACACGGACTCAGAGCTCACTAGCCACCACTCTCCTGTCCAGAAAGCAGAGAGAGAGAGTTGGGGGGCTGGGTGTACAGATGACCCACAATGCAGGCCAGCACCTGGGATGGGTCACCCCTGATTAGACTCTGGCTGCTGCTGGATTGAAAGGAATCTCCCATCCCCACTCCTTCCCCCCAAACCATGAAAACACATACAACACAACACAGGGCTCCTAATTGGGACAGTATGTTCCCCAGCGCCAGCCCAGGAAAGCCAACTCTGGAAACAAAGCCTTCCCGCCAGATCGCCTCCTGCCTCCCTATACTGGCCCTGCTCCCGGCTGACTGGCAGGGCGCTGGAAGGAATCAGACAGGCTGCCCTCCTTGTCTCCCTCCCAGGGGAATTTCCAAGAGGGTGAGGGATTAGACCAACTCGAGGGAAGCAGCCTTGGCCTTGGGCTCCTCTCTACCCCACCCCCTGCCCTTTCCTTGGGCCCAAAAAGCCAGGTGAAGGTCTCAGGGCCAACCAGGTAATTGAGCAACTTGGCTGGAGAGAAGCAGGATTTGCCCAGGTCACGGCAACGGTCTGCCAGCACAACCATCTGTAGCCTCAGGCCCTGGCGCCCCTTTGGCTCTGGACCTCTCACCAAGGATCTGCCCCCCATATGCCAGCCCTGGGACAGGGAAGGAATGGTTGGTATTATAAAGATGACAATTCCCAGAAGAATTCAAAGGAGTGTGACAGTCACTATTGGGGACCTAGGAGACAAGGGAGGGCTCTGACCAGGTCTAGTGGTCAAAGCGCTGCTCTGCTCCCGCCCACAGGGCCTGGGGCTAAGGCTGCCCCAGGGACAAGGAAGGATCAAGGGCTGGGTGACTGGAAATCTCTTTCTCTCACAGCCAGGCAGCAATGCCTCCCTCCCCGGACCCCGAGGGCCTGGTCTGCTGCCCAAGTGCCTCACAGGGAAGGGACCAGCTGGCCGGGGGCAGGAGCTAGGCACAGAAAGGACAGGGATGATGTCACTCTAGCCCTGCCCCTGCACATCTCTTAGCTCTTCAGGAGGAGGGGGCTTCATGTGAAACCCCCCCCCCCAAGGAAGGTGAAAGAGCTCCCCTACCCACAGTGATAGTGACTGTAGGTTGAAGCTGACCTAGCCCAGTCCCATCTGTCCTTATGCTGATGGGAGGGCCTTGCCAAGGTCACACGGAAGTCACTGGCAGAGGCAGAGCCCAGCCAACATCTCCTGACTCCAAATACAGAGCTCCATCCTGCATGACAGCAATTCTGAACCCTGAACGTACCCAAAAGGCAGGTTCTCCTCAGCAAACTGCGGCCGGCCCAGGACTCTGCATTTCTAACTAGCTCCCTGGGGCTGCTGCCACTGCCGCTCCTCAAGTTGTTAGAAATGCTGTTCAAGGTCATTTCATTATAATGTTGCTAAGATGCCATAGAAACTTACCACCTGGTTTTGTTATATGTCATTTCACTTAAAGTGGCAGAATCTATTGATGATGGTGAGTGAGCATTTACTGTATCAGGAGAGTGCTCCCCTTGTGATGAAGATAGTTAAAACCACAAAACCATCACTGTCAGTCCCGGACATGGACTGCGGGACCAGCAGAGGGGACTGTCTGGTCTGGGCCCTAAGTGACAAAGGAGGCTCTAGGGCCAGGATGGCCAATGCAAGGGTCTGTACCACTTGTCTTCTGTCTTCTAAACTCCCCTGGGCTGAGCCTCATGATGGAGCACTTGGTTGCACCCCTGTCTACTCTCCCTCACTGGCTTCACTGTGTCCCCAGGGGACTGAGCTCTCCACCAGAATGAGCCTCATCACCTTCTCCTTCATCCCCACAACACCTGCCCACCTCTCAGACATACTGCACAGTCTTAATAAAGTCCTCACCTGAAGGACATATGGCCAGATGCCCTCAAAATGAGAAGAGGTGAGCCTGAGGGATGCTGGGCAAGTGCAACCTCACCTTCCTGACTCGGCAAGCCGGGCCTGCCACATCTGGGGACACCAGATCCCAGGCCCTCAAGGCAGCTCATACTCCAGGGCACCAAACTTATGCATGCCCTTCCATGGCCCATTATCCAACCTTGTATTGGTAATTTCTTCTTCCTTTGCTTCAAAGTGCCCTCCAAACTTCACAGGCTTCAGTGCCCCACAGCCTGGGCACATCCCTGGACAACAGTCATACCTGGCCGATCAGCCATGACTCTTCTCGCTGAGCCTCAGAACGCATTTCGGCAAGGTGCTCCAGGCTCCAGCCAGCTCAGAGGGCCTGGCCTGCAGCCAGACACACCAGCCACCCTGCACCTAGGCCCTCTTTTGTCACTGAACAATACCTTCTGCTGTTCCCTAGTCTACATCAGGGACTGAAGGGGATGGCACGGTACTTTTAACTATAAGAAGTGCACTCTGCTGATACAGTAAGTCCCCACTTAACATTGTCAGTAGGTTCTGCCACATTAAGTGAAACGACATATAATGGAACCAATTTTTGCCACAGGCTAATTGATATAAACAAGAGATAAGTTCCTGTAACAACATCTCAACATTATAATGAAACAGCAACCTCGCCTCGAATGGCACTTCTAACAAATGGAAAACCTGCTGACACAGGGGCTTGCCAGTCCCAGGAGAGCACGCCCTCCACATGCCTCCTCCTCCTGGAGGGCTCACACAGGCACACACCGCACAGCGAAGGCTGCCCCCTGTGGGCACGCTGCACTCGGCCAGTGGCTGGCGCTGCCCCAGACTGGGGTCCACAGTGTCCAGAGCCCTGGGTTAGGCACTGTGCACAGGCTGCTGTGCAGCCCTGAGCCAGTCCCTACCCTCTCTGGGTGTCCCCTTCTCTGCCATTCCAATCAGAGTGACATGGAGTTGAATATGCCATTCTCTCCACTTTCATACTAATTTGAAAATTTCATTTTGATAAGGTTAAAAATTGTGAAGAATATACAAAGTCAAGTATCAGCCCAGTAACACTGTGGTCCCTCCAAGGTTTGAAGTCCCAGAAACACTGGTGTGGGGGCCAGAGCATTTTCAGGGCTCCCCTGAGAAGCGGTGAGGACCAGGGAAGCTCAGACAAGAATAGGCCCCATATCCTCCTCCCTTGGGTGGGGAGACATAGAGCTGAGGAGAGGGGGCAGCAGCTGGCTTCTTACCAGGTGAAAGGGGCCTTTCAATGTGCATTGTGCCACGTGAGAGACTTCTGGGCCACCTCCTGTGCACCCACACCTTCTCCCTTGCCTACTCTGCTGCAGAAGGCAGGACACACTCTATCTTTGTCCTCAGATGGACAATGAGACCCTCTCTGGCCCCAGGCCCTCCCTTTTTCTGGACCCCAGCAGGTGCCAACCTCACAAACAGAGGGACCTTCTCCTCTGTCCTGCCATCCACACCTTCCCTTCCTAACCCAGCCCCACACCCTCCTTCAGGAAGGGTCCCCCACCCACTCCTTCCTGGGGGGCTCACCTTCTACCAACCCTTTGATTACGTAGTCTAAGAGCTTACTGAGGACAGTCATGTCTCCCCATCGAGATCGAGTTCAGTTTCCCCTGTTGGATTCCCCAAGGGCAAGACTTTGTCTCCCTGCCAGACCAGGGACTTCCCAGAGTAGGAGTCCTGTTTCCCTCATCAGACTATGGGCTCTGCAAGGACAGAAGCTACTTCTCTCCATCAGCCTGGGGGTCTCCAAGGACAAGGACAGACTCTCCACCCATGAGACAAGGTACTGCTGGAGGTCAGAGCTGTACGCCCACATTAGAGCAGGAGCTCCTTCAGGACAGGGCCTGTGCCTCCCCCTCAGGCCTGCTCACCGGGAAGGCATACACAAAGATGCCCAAGAACAGCAGCAGGATGAAGAGAATGATGAAGAGGATGATGGTGCACCGGAACCTCCGCCACAGGATGAACTTCATAGTCTTGTACGGGGAGGTGAACCAGAGGAAGGAGGTGTCAGGGCGCCTGGAAGTGGGATCGCAGAGGTCAGCAGGGCAGCCCTACCAGGACTGCTTTCCCCATGTTCTGCTCCCAAACCGCCCTGGTCCTCCATGGTCAGCCCCCAGGGGCTGCCCAGCCTCAAGCCCCCCAGTTCCTGCACCAAAACTCCCTTCAAACCTGCATTCCCTTCTTAAGCCTTTGCTATGGTGTGAACCCCACCACTGTTTCCCTCCTCTTCTTGATGCCAATAAGCCCTACATACTCTCAGAGGCCCAGTTCTCTGCCACCCGCTCCAGGACACCTTCTCTGCTGCCTTTTTTCCTTCCTGACCCAGGACTTAATAACAAACTAGAGATTTGGGGGCTGGGAAGAACCTCAAGGGGCTGTCACATTCAGTGATCAATGGACTCTGAGCCCCAGAGAAGCCAAGCCACCTGCCTAGATGCAAATGGCTGGTCCACAGTCAGGGAAGGATGGCGGCAAGTGAACCCAGACAGCTGAGTTTCTCTCACAACCAAGATCATCAAAATCTTCTCCTAGGTCAGCCTCCTGACTCAGAGAGCATGCAGAATTTTGTGTCTCAATAATGGCCAGTTTAACTGCATGCTGCTAGGTCTCCTGGGCCTGTCTTGCCTTTCCACCCAGATCCTAGCATCCTTGGGCCGGGACGGCTCTACCATGGCACTTGGGACAGCACCACAGTAAAGTGGGCTGCCTGCGCTAACTCTGATTCAAGCCACTCAGGCCACAGGGAAGCACCCACCAAATGCAGCCCTGACACCACTCCCCCTCCCCAACAGCAGTCTCTCATCCCCTAGGAACTGCCTTCAAGGCTTCTACACCCATTAGGGACCTATTGAGGTAAGGCACACAGGGACCATTCCCCCCATTTCACAGATGGGAAAAGTAAGGCTCAAAGACAGAAAGCCACATTGACACCACAGGAGAGCCACAGAAGGCTGCTTGGTCAAGAGAAAGACCTTGATTGGGCTCCAGAGCCAGTCAGACCAAGTGTGAGAATTCCAGCTTCACTGCTTTTCTTATTCAGCTTTGCTGAAATTGTTTCCTCATCTATAAAATGAGGACAACAATAACAACCCAGCAGAGAAGATTCCATAACACAACTGCACATGCTATACAACAGCTTGCTCAGCACACAATCAGCAGCTGCCCAGCAGTGCCTACTTCCGGAACCAGCCGAGGAGCCCAGTGTTCGTGGAATGATGTCTGTTGCCTGCCCCCTAACACTGTGCAGCCCTATCCGGGCCACATGGGCCTTGTGACCTCTGTGTGACTATGCAACAGATGCCTCCTAGACTGTAGCTACATGTTCCTGCCCCCCTGGGCACCAGGGGTCAGAGGCTAGACACTGACCTTGGGTCCTCGAGTTTGGGGTTCATGTTGGGCTCATCCCGGCCCTGGCCAGCAGGCCGCTCCTCATGCTCACTCTCTGCTACAATCTCCAAGGTCATCTCTAGCTTGCCCTGTGGGGACAGAGAGAACCTGGTGAGGAACACAAAGGCTCTGCCCAATGGCCTGGAGAAGAGTCATACCGGGACAGTTGTGAGAGCCACATTATTTATTTATTTTTAATGATATTGGGTTGAGCCGATCATAAAAGCAGTAACTGCTCCTTGTAGGATATTTATAAACTACAGAAATACACAGGCATCCCTTGTTTTATTGTGCTTTGCTTACCGTGCATTCAGATACTGCATGTTTTACAAATTGAAGGTTAGACCCTCCACCAGCAAAAAGATTCTGACTTGCTAAAGGCTCAAATGATGGTTAGTATTTTTTAGCAATATAATATTTCTAAATTAAGGTATGTACACTGCTTTTATAGACAATGCTGTTGCACACTTAACAAACTACAGTATAGTGTAAACATAACTTTTACATGCACTGGGAAACCAAAACATTCCTGTGACTCATTTTATTGTGGCTGTCTGGAACTGCACCCACAATATGTCCAAGCTCTACCCGTGTAAAGGAAGGAGGGCACCAGGCACACCTCCACTACGTGGAGCCGAGCGCTGTTAACATTTTTATGCATCAGAGCTGTTTTCTCTGCAAGTATATGAAACATCACAGTGTGTATGTATAGTTGTATGGCTTGCTCCTTTCACTTAGAAAGATATTCTATATAATTACATGTCCTTTAAAATTTGCTTGGCAATAGCTATAAGACAGTCTATGGGATGGTTGACCATAATTTGTTTCATAAACTACTTATTTTGGTTTGTTTAAGTAGTTTCCAACTCTGTAATATTATAAATCATGCTGCAACAAATATCCCAAAACACAATTTTTAAATTTTAGCTGGTTATTTCTTTAGGAGAGATTTTTAGAAGTGGGATGACAGAAGGCAAAGGCATAAATATTGCTAAATCTCTTGCTGTCTATTACAAAATTGCTTCGCACATGGCAAAACCATCAGCACCCCCAGCAGAAATAAATGAGGAGCCTGTCTCTACATCTTCACCAGCAACAAGCATTTCTATTTTTTAATTCTAATTTAATAGGCAAAAAGTTTTCACATTAAAAATATGTCTTTATTTTCCCTGGCTTGTGTGGGTCGGTGGATTGAGCACTGGCCCATGAACCAAAGGGTCGCCAGCTCAATTCCTAGTCAGGGCACATGCCTGGGTTGTGGGCCAGGTCCCCAGTAGGAGGTGTGCAAGAGGCGACCACACGTTGATGTTTCTCTCCCTCTCTTTCTCCCTCCCTTCCCCTCTGTCTAAAAATAAATAAATAAAATCTTTTTAAAAATCTTTTAAAAATATGCCTTTATTTACTATCTAGAGGGAATAAACCTTTTTAAATGTGCAATGTCCAATTTGTACTTCTTTTGGGTATTATTTATGCAGGCCCTTTGCTCATTTCTCTGTTGAGGTGTTAGTTATTTCTTGTTAATTGTAATTCCTTATACAACAAAAACATCTTATTTCAAGGGCCACTTTAGGGGTTGGCTGACTGCCTGCTATTTTTAAATAAACTGGCAGGGATTCACTTCCTCTGCAGAGGAAGGACAGTTCACAGTCCCCTGTCACACCCTTGAGCAGACTCTGGGCAAGAACAGTAATGCAAAGACAGTCCCATGTAGGCTCCCGCTCAAATGACAGAGGCATGACCCCTGTCCTCTGCAGGAGGTCCAGGCCACAGGGGATCCCAGCACACAGATCATGGTGAAGGCTAAGGAGCAAGAGTACAAACAGGATCATCAGAGGGGAAAAACAGGGTCAGAGGGAGATAAGGGCATTTTAGATTTAAACAGGCTCCCCTGATCTATGAGCCTCAAGGGAAGGAAGGCTGGGAACTAGAAAGGAAAGAGGGCTGGTGCCTTGGAAAACTGAGAGGGTGGGTGAGACAGGGGGAGAGGAGCACGGATGTGCCCTGTAAACCCTACGGAAGAGTAGCCCCATGCCTCCACCGGGTCAAGGGGAGCAGATTTACCGCTAGTATCTTCTTCTCGCCCTCCTCTGCCACACAGGGCCACCAGCCCTTCACTGTTTTCTGTTCGAAAAGGGACACAAACCACTCCGGGTGGAAAGTGTCATCCAGAAGGTCCAGGGAGCACTTCTCAGCTGTCTTGGCAGGCTTGGGCATGCGGTTGAGGTCCAGCTGCAAGGCACCTGCAGCAGAGAGAGCAGTTTCTCAATCCTCGGCTACCCTGCCCGGGGCTGGGCGGGTACCACAGAAACTCACTGCCACCTCCTCAGCCTCCAGCCACATGCTCAGCCACTGGTCAAAACCCTCAAACTGCAGCTCCCCATCCATGCCCTCTTATTCCCTCTATATAGCTTCCCATCCATCTGCATGGGCCCACTAATCTACCCTTATTGATCCACCTTAAAGAGCTTCCCACTACTCAACTATTCATCCTACTATGCACGAATCCATTCATTCACCCACTGTCTACATCTTATCATCCATCAATTTTTTATTGTTTTTATTGTGGTAAAATCTATATGACATAAAATTTGCTATTTTAATTCAAAATTTATCACCCCTAAAAGAAACAGTATACCCATTAGCAGTCACTCCCCATTCCCCCTCCTCCCGACCCTGGCAATCCCAAGCCTACTTTCTGTCTGTATAGACTTGCCTATTACAGACATTTCGCATAAATGGATCATACAATATGTGTATATTTCTTGTGTGGCTTCTCTCACTTAGCAGGTTTTCAAGGTTCATCCATGTTATATAGCATGTGTCTGAATTTCATTTCTTTCTACAGCTGCACAATACAGCACTGTATGGACAGACCACACTTTCCTGGCTAATGTTTATCGTTGTGATGGGGCCATTACAGTCCAGCCTGCTGGCCCCATACAAAGCTGTCCTCTTCACCCCACTTCCCACGCCTGCAAGAGCCCATCCTTCAGCTCAGTGCTCCCTGCTCCCCAGCTCAGGGTTTCAGCACACTTACTTCTGTCCCACTAGAACCCTGCCTGGGGCTTGGGGGTTGGAGCTGGGCTCATTTGTTCCATCATTACTCAGGCACATAGTGAAGTATGTCTCAAGCCCCTCACTTGCTGGACTCAGTCTGTATCTAGACTAAAGGATGGGGTGGAGAAGGGTGGGAGGCATCCCTGCAAACCTGTAGCCAGCCAGTGATGGCCAGTGTGGGCTGCTCTGCCTTCAACCTGTGTTTCCCTCTCTTCCTTATCCACCTGAGTCCTCCCGTCCAACACGGCCCAGTGTTCAATGCCACCTCTGCCAACAGACCCACCCTGCTGACCACTCTGGCACTACTCTGCATCACAGACTCACTCAGCAGCACCGTGACTCCAAGCTCCCTGAGGCAGAAAGAAGATTGCACCTGCGGCCCACCAGCCGAGAGCAGCACACACAGTGGGGCTCCTAGGGCAGCCCCGATGTGTGGAATGGTGCTGACCAGAGACAGTGCTCACCCAGAAAGTCGTCGAAGGAGAACTTGTCATTGTCCCAGATCTGGAAGATCACACGCGCTGGGATTTTGCTCTCAGTCTTGTCCAGCCTCCAGAAAGCATCCTGGCCCAGAGAAGGAGCCAGGAAGGAAGCAAGAAAGAGAGGTTAGAGAGAGGCAGTGATCCCTTCCAGCCTGGAAGGTTGCCTGGAGGAGGCAGTGGAGTGGGACATCCCTCAGGGACTTGCCAGAGTGAGGTCCTGGCAGGAAGACTGATAAGACCTCAGAGCCTCAGAGAGCAGGGTCCAAGGTTCGGGAGTGTACCAATCAGGACCCCTTCACATACCCTCCTAATTCCTCCTTTAATCCTCTCAATTCCGTGATTCAACATTGTCACTCCCATTTTGCAGATGATGAAACAGAGGCTTGGAGAAGAGTTGGCCCAGGATCTGACAGCTAATAATAATATTAATATTACATATCTTATGCACCAGCCCTTTATCATTACGAACTCATTTATCCTTCCAATAACCTATAAAGACACTGTCCTTGCAACTGAGGAAACCAGAGCATGTAACCTGTGAGTCATGCCCCTGGGAAGTGGCAAGGCAAGGTTCACACCTAGGAAGTCAGAGTTCAGAGTCCTGTTCCCTCCTCTAAATCCTGCTCTGCGCTTGCAATATTGGGGATGAGATGGAGTGGCTGGGAATCTGAGGCTCCCCTCTCCCCAACCCTGGCTGTCGCCAGAAGGATCCCCCTAACACACTGCTGTAAGGAGCTGACACTGGGAGGCAGTGACCCCAGCTCCTCCCTCACCACACCAACCCACCCACCTTTGCCTCCAAGAGCTTGTCAAAAGCCTCTGGTGCTGGAAAGTTCACCATTCCTGCTCTCCTCATCCCACCTCCCTCAGACCAGGCAGCCAGAAACAGTGTCATCTTGGGCCTCTTCCCAGAGGTCATTTGGAGCTACTGCAGGATGGGGACTGTACATGCCAAGACCTGGGTCCAGCCACACTCAACCCAAAGAACTGCTGCTGGGGCTTTCCTGCTCATGCCTGTTCTCTGTCCTCTCACTATAGCTTCACCTGAGAGGGTGGCATGCACAGGAAACACTCTGCCCAGCCCGCAGACCATGGTGGCCAGGTCCTGAGTGCCAGACCAAAGAAGGGCCTGACCGAGCCTTAGAGGGACAGACCCTATAGGGTGCTGGGGAGTACTGCTTACCACATGGGGTTTTTCTGGCCCTGGGTGCCCTGCACACACAGCCTTGCTGCCCAGTCAGGGCCATGCCTGCTGTGTGGCCACCCCCGGGTCTTGCAGGCACACAGTCCTCCTGAATCAAAGACCATGCCTGGCAAGGAACAGCCACCTTGCAAAGCACCAGCCTCAGTCTGGACTGCAGCCGGAGTTGGTGAGGGGGCTCCAGTCCCCAGCTGGGCCTTTGCCCCCTGAGCCCCTGTCTGGTGCTCCCCCCGCCTTTTCCGGGCCCCAGCCCTCCTGCAGGTGCCTCCATCCTCTGGTGGGGCTTTTATGGCCAGCACTGCAGGCCCGCCTGCACAGGCCGCCAGCAGCATCCATTCCTCTGGCCGGCCTGGTTTATGGGCTCAGTAATGAGCCAGAGGTTCAAACGGCCCCTGGTGGGAGCAGCTGGGCTGGGGCTCCAGCCTGGGGAATGGCCCCCCAGGTCCCAGGCGCTCATTATGCTCCCGGTCTGGGCCCTTTTACTAGCTGTTTATTTGCAGGGTGGGTGCCTGACGAGCAGGCAGGCCCCGGTGGGTGTGCTGGGCTCCAGGTGGGGAGCCAGCCAGGGCAACCAGCGGTGGTTCAAAGCAGCCAGATGAAAGGAGACCTTGTACTTTACGACAGTCTCGTCTGGTTAATGGGGTCCCTGGAGGGCCTGCCTGCCAGAGGCCCTGAACCCCTTGGCAGAGGGCTGGCTCTGTGGCAGGACCTGAGAGCCCAGAGGCAGTGTAGCAACCCCGGACAAACCCACCCCCAGACTAAGTCTGTTAGCCCAGACTGGCTCATTGGTGCCCCGCTGTGAGCTCAGCCCCACCAGCCTCCCAGGGCCCCTTTTCCCACAGAGGGACCACAGGCTCTTCCTGGGCCAAGCCAGGCCCCTCCTTGCTATTCCTGGTTGACTTCAGAACCCTGTGGACCCTGTTTCTCAAGCTCCTCTTCAACCTCCTCCACCCCTCCCTCCAGCCACCCTCTCCAGGAGCCCGGTACCACACTGAGTTCCCGGTCCTTCACAGCCCTCCCCACTCCTGAGTGAGCCTTCTAGACACCAACTCCTCTTCCTCTTCTCCACCCTGCAGTCTCCTCATCCTTTTGTGCCTAGACCAGGCTAGGCCGCCAGTGTCAGCCCAACTCTCTCCTTCTTCCCTGCCCTGTGCCTGCAATTCAGAGAGGAAACACCATCATTGCCAGAATGGAGCCACCTCCAATTCTTAACCAGCAATGCTAACTGGGCCTCAGTTAATCCTTCTCTATACCAGCAATGACTCTGCTCTCCCCCTCTCCCACTTTCTTTTTCCCTCTCTCTCCCCTTCTCTCTTCCTCACTCAGCATAACAGCTACTTCCAGCATTTATCATTTGTCTCAAATCACCTGCCGCAGTGCCAGGAGATCATCTCTCCTCCAATTTTGTAGACAATACAGAAGCCTCTGCTTGCTGCAACTCCTTGCTGACATCTCCACTTGTCACAGTAAAGAGAACTCATTGTGACAACTGGCCCGCCTCTCATCTGAGCAGGCCAATCTATGTCTGCCAACCTTGGTTTCCCATCCAACCCAGCCCCTTTCAGGGCTTGGTGAGCACCAAAGTAGGTGTGCAGCATGCCTCAGCACTCCCTTCCCCACTCCCAGCCCCCACTCCCAGCCCCACTCCCCCTCTGTCCACAGCAAAGGGACACGGTGTGTGTTTGCTTTGTTATGGAAACACTGTGTGATGGACAGGCACACTGAGCATAGACAAACAAGGTTAAACCTGCAAATGGGCTGGGGTTTCCCTGCCTGCACGGAACACAGGGCCAAAGCTAAATTCTACTCTCTGGCAGGCCCTACACAGTGATCCCCAGGTGAAAGAATTTATTTAACCTTGTTTAAGCCATATTTTCTTTGATGGTTTCTGAATGTTCCACAGAACATTCTGGTTTATCTAAAGCGCATATGATTCTGTGAGTTGGGTCAGGAGAGGGTCACACAGAAGGGATATAATAAAGAAAATTAAGAAGACCTAGTATATTGAAGTACATTATATATTTCCCTTCTTTAAGACACTCAACCAGTCAGGAAAGAAAGAAGAGTCATAGAAGTTTTGTGGCTTCAAACCTTGAGCCACCTCAGGAAGGAACTCGGACTAGCAGAACCTAAACACCAGAGAGGCATTTACTCTGTCGAGTAAGAGAGAACCTCAGTGCAGAATTGATTCCAGGTGGGGCACTGGTGGGCAGAAACTGCAGCAGAGGCCCCCTCCACCTCCAGGCAGCCTGGCCATGAGACCCTCCCTGCCCACAGCACCCTCTTCACTGTGTTCTGCGTCTGCTCTGTAAAGGCAGATGTAGAGCCACTGGGAGGGAGGCTACCTGCTTTCCTCCTGTCTCAGGAGCAACACTAGACAATGCTGAGACACAAGGAGCAGAGGTCCCTGCATCCACTCCCCTCTCTGGCTGACACTGACAGCTCCCCCAGGTGCCCTCAGCCTGGGGTGAGAGAAGGGAGGTTGAGAGAGAAGCACAGTGGCTTCCAGGCCTGGAAGGGCAGAATCACTCCCTGGTGACTGTCCAGCTTGGACAGTAACCACAGGTGCCAGACATGGAAATGTGAGAAACTAGGTAGGAGCAACTTAGCTAAGCAACACCCAATTCTACGGACAAACCCATCCCTATGCCAGGTAGGCCCCTCAGAAGCTCTAAAGGGTCTGCTCTACTGCCCCACTGATGGCCACACTGTTTCCCTATAAATGTTCTTCCCACTGGGACCCCATGAGCCTTCCTCCTGTTTGGTTTATCTGGGGTTTCAAGAAAGGCAGCGGTTTTAGCATTTACATATGGTGGCTGCGGCAACAGTGTGGGGTGGTTGTGGGACAGCAGCAATAGTAGCGATGGCAATAGTGGTGAGGGTGTAAGGAGTAGTGGGCATAGTGAAGACACTGGCAGTGACTTTGGAGCTAATGGAGCAGTGGTGGAAGCTGTGGCAATGGTATGAGTAATGTGGACAATGGAGGCAGTGATGATATTGGCAGTGAGGGGACAATAGAGGTGGTTGTAACATTGGTAGTCAGTGATGTGGACAATGGAGGCAGTGGTGACATTGGCCATGAGAAGACAATGGTGGTGGTGGCACTGGCAGTGAGGGGACAATGGAGGTGGTGGTGACACTGGCAGTGAGGGGTAAGGGAGGTGGTAGTGACATTGGCAGTGAGAAGACAATGGAGGTGGTGGTGGTAGCACTGGCAGTGAGGGGACCATGGTGATGGTCATTCTGCAATGACCACAGTACTTGGTCCAACAGTGGTGGGGCAGCGGTAAGGGCAATGGCAAGCCAGTAACTGTAGTATGATCATGCTGACATTAGAAAGCCCCAGAACTAGCACCCTGGGGACAGGAGCAACACTCACCTTCTTGGCAATGAGACAGACTTGCTCAGCTGGCAGGTAGTTGAAGGGGAAAATGAACCTCCAGTTAAAGTTGCCTTCGCCTCCCAGAGACCGATAATGCACATCTGTCTTCTGCTTGTGTTCTTCAAAGCCAACCATCCAACTAGACATACGATTTTTAAAGAACATTTTAAATTAGGGTTTCCACCACAATATGCATCCTCAACTTAAGCAAACAAGGAATTAAGAAGGCAAATGAACTTGATAAGTGATGAAGGAAAAATAATTCCCAAGAAATCATGACATACCAAATGTGCCACAAGCCTTTAAACATTCTAAATTTTATCTTAATGAACATCTTCAGACCTTGTAAGTTCAACCCAAATATCAATGTGGAAGAAGAAACCTAGTTGGGGAACAACTCCCAAAGGCAGAGACCATGCCCATGAGACCCTCCCTCCTTTCTTGTCCTCCCTGACCTTCCTTACACCAGAGCCCCCTTCACAATGGGACATCACCCCAAAAGGAAAAGAAGTGACTATGGAGCTGAGATAGGAGGGCAGGAGGATGACTCCCTACCCTTTTACATAAATGTCGCTCATCTTTTCCCCCGTGATGCTGAGGTCATCCAGGATCACGTCCTTGGTGTTCCAGATAATACAACGCAGGAAAAACCTATGGAAAAGATGATTCAAATCACATGGATTCCCCACCAACAGGTGGGCAGTCCTTGACTGAGAAGCCAAGGAACCAGCTCACCCAAGAAGACTTCAATGCTTGCCTGGCTGGGTATTTGGCCACAAGACTAGTATCTTGTGGCCTGGGTGGTCCAAAGCCTGGCCCAAGAGCAAATTCCTCATCCCACCCAAGCTAGCAAGGACCATCCCTCCACCCCACTCAGCTCCAAGCCTATGGCTGGAGTAAGTCACCTTCTGGCTCTCCGTGGGGTAATGTTGAAGGCAGGTCCAGGTTGCCCCAGGGCCTTTGGAAACAAGTCGATCCACATCTGCAGCTTCCCCTGAGGAGACATGACCCTGTTCTCTCACCACCTTTTTCATTCAACCACATTCTACTGACCATCTGTTCTTGGGGCACGTGACAGAGAAAACCGAGGCCCTGCCATGGAGAGGTCCGCTGCCCAATAGGGGAGGTGCCCTAAATGGGACCACAGGGCCAACTGCAAAGGTGAATCCACTGGCACAGGCTGATAACTTTGGCCTGTGCCTAGGGGGTCAAAGGGGAGGGAAAGCTTTTCAGAGATGACGGTTCTGAGCTGAGTCTCAGTGCAGCAGGTGATAAAGTGGAGAAGGGCATTTCAGGCCACGGGAATGGCCTACACAAAGTCCTGGGGGGCTGGATAATATCCACAACAGGAAACCACTCCACCTGCCACCACTCAGCTCCCCATCTCCCTGCAGTCCAGGTGTTGTTTCTGTCCTCATCTTATCAAAGAAGGAGCAAGAACTGAAATTAGTTCTTCAGGGTCCTAGAGCTAGAGAGTGCAAGACATTCTGACATCTGACACCTATCATGTCCCTCTGGGGAGCTGGTGGCCACAACACCAAGGAGAAGAAAGCACTGTTTCAAACAGTAGTCAGGGTGTCCTCTACGTGTTCTCAAAGGCACCTTCATGGCTGCCTCGGCCCCCTCTTTGCTGGAAACTTTTTCTCTCCTCCTGAGCTCACCTACCCTGTGCCTGCTGTCCCTCTGCTCACCCTCCTTCTGCATGGGAGGACACCCTTATCCCTCCTGATGACTGCTCTCTGTGGCTGCTCTGCCATTCTGCCATAGGGTGCTCATCACCCTGTCTGAACTCCCCACTGCAGCCCAGCATGGGGCCAGCCATCTGAGATATCACTGACTGATGACAGGGGAAGGCACCCTGAGGCCAGGCTGAAAGAGCAAGGCTTCAGAAAGCCTCATGGGAAGTCAGAGGTCCAGCCTACATGGGGTTGAAGGAGGCAACTCAGGCTCACTCCCCAGGGCCTAAGGGCTGCAGGTAGTCAGAGGAGGCCAGGCCCAAGAGGTCCCCAAGAAGGCCAACAGTGATGACCACTCAGTCTGTGGAGAAACACCCTCAAGGAGGAACCTGCCAAGTCATGTGATCCCCACTGGTGCCACTGGGATGTCCATGCTGTCCTTGGGGTGGGTCAATGGCCTACCTGCTCGATGTCTGGCTGGAGGGGGCTATAGAGAGGCCGAGACTCCACATGCTCTGGGACCAGGCCCTGCTGCTGGAGAATGTGCAAAGCCAGACGCTCCTCCACTGGGCCCAGGTGTGGGTTTGGGACCCTGCCAGCCTCTGCCACAGAGAGAAGCCAAAAAAGTTGTGTGTGCTGAGTGAGCAAGAAATGGTAGGGAGACCTTGGGGCCTAGGATGCCCTTAACCCCTGCAGCCTCCCCCTAGGCCAGACATCCTTCTTCTGGCCCTTATATCTCACTCTTTGTAGGGGAAACCTCGCTGTCCATGGGCTCCAGGCTTAAAATCCAGATTTCTCATGGCCATGATTTCTACCAAGCCTCTTCTGTAAGCTCTTCTTCCTCTTTTCCACCAATTCGAATACTGACTGCCTGCCAAAGCCCACCCCTTCCAGGAAGCCCTCCCTGACTGCTCCTAACTCTGAGCCTCAGCAACCTCTATACCCAGACAGGGCATCTACATGCTCTTACTGCTATTCTCTGGTTCATGCAAGTTGTTCTATTAGTAGCAGTAGCTAAAATAATAGCAATAACAGCAAACACTTATAAGCAAGAACCAGGCACTGTTCTTCATAGGTATGAACAGGTTCAATCCACATACTAACACTAGAAAATAAGTACTCTTATTATCCCCATTTTACAGATAACAGAAATGAAACACAGAGCAGTCACCCAGCGGGTCAGCAGGGCAGCTGAGACCACATACTCAGGAAAGGTGCATGGCTGGACATGAACACTCCCCCTTGTGCTTTCCAGGTACAGCCCCTACCTGCCAAGGACTGGTGCTGAATGGGGTGAGGACTCAGGGGTAGCTCTGACCCTGACAAACTTGGCCAACCAGCCAGAAACTTGAACCTGGAACTTCCGTGAGAAACCTTGATTGGGGTGAGAGGGTCTGTATGTCTATACACACATCCACACACAGGTATGTATATTCAGGTGCACCCAAATCCACTGTCTCATGCACATGGGCAAACACACACACTCATCAAACCTGTCCTGTCCACTTTAATAGGTGCCACTAAGTAAGCAGTAGGGCATCACAGAAGGACCACTGGGCCAGGAATTTGGCACTGCTCTTAACTGTCTGGGTGACTCTGAGCAGGTCATTAACCTCTCTTGTGGCCTCAAAAGTTCTTATCTGCAAAAACAGGCTGATGGAAGACCACACCAACTCTAGCTCTCTGGCTTTCCTTTCCTACAAATTTATGGCCATGAGCCCTGGCCCCTTTGCAAAAGCTGCTCACAGACTAGCAGAAAGAAATGAGACCATCCCTAAAACAGATACACATTCTTCTATAAGAGAAGGGAATGGGGACAGGGGCAGGAGCTAATGGAGTGGAGCTGGCTCAGCCATGACCTGGGAGTCAAGAAAATGGAAAAAGAAGGAAAGGATTTGGGATGGAGGAGGCAAAACCAATATGCCCCTTTTATAACCTCAGCACCAGCTCTGGCATCAGACATCTCTGAAACTGGCAGAATGTGTGCAGCCAGCTGGGCCCACAAACACCACTGGGGAGTCTTCTCTGGGTGGGCAATGTGGCCTGTGCATACCTCCGATGTGCAGGGACCGTGGAGTGGGATTCTCAGCCATGAGCATTAGGCAGCCACAGGGGCAAGGTGGGGGCTGCAGGGCTTCCTGCCTGCCCTTTGGATGCTTTAGGTGTAAGAACTGTGCATGGAGGCTCAGAATGTACCATCAAGCACAAGCTGGCAGCCTAGTGCAACTCAAGTAGAAAACTTTCTCAGACGTGGGCTATGCTCCAAACTCTGATCAAAGTCTGACTACCCAAATCCAGAAGCACACGGATTTTAACTATGACCCTGACCATGGCTTCAGACTCACTCCTGAAATTTGCCCTTAGATGGGCCCAACCTGGCAAGTGGACTGAGCTCTGACCTTGGCTCTACCTTGACCTCTTATTTCTACAGTAGTATCATAGGAAAGTACTGATCCCCAAAGTACCAAGCCCATCTGTGCCGCCCTGGATGATGATTCCAGACCACACCCTGCTGATGTGGGTTGTGCCTAGTTGGCCCCTTTATGACAAGAGAGTCAACAAAAGAGAAGAGGAAGAGGATGAGTCCATAGTGGTTTCAGGGCCATGTGGCAGCTCACCTATTTCTTCAATGGTATATTCTTTATCCTGAAACATCACACGGCCCGTCTGGTACATGGGGGCTTTGACTCGGTGCTGCTGGCAGAAGAGGTGGAGGAGCTGGGAGGGGCGGAGCTGGTCCCTCCACTGGTTCGGTCCAGAGCTGAGGCCAAAACACGAGACAAAGATGAGGTGCTCCAGGACACTGATGAGGGCAGAGGGGCATGCAGTGACCTGTGTATCCACATGCACAGCATCATCCAGCCTTCACCTTTATAGTGAGCACCCCATCTGGTCATTTATTATGACTGGGGATCTCCACTTTAAGAGAGAGACACTGAGGCCCAGAGGTAATAGGACTTGTTTAAATCCATACACACAGAATTGGAATTTAGATGTTTCCACTTTCCAGATTTAGAGGATCAGACCCAAATAAGAGCCAAGTTGGTAGGAAGTGGGTGGAAGCTGTCCACACATGACTTCACCTGACATAAATCCCCTCAGGGTCCATCTGGGGCCCATGTGTCCCATTGTCTGTCTCCTTCTCCTAACCCTCCTTCCTTCTTTCCCTCTACAGGCCCTCAGTGACACCTGAAGGAGAACTGGATTATAACATAAGGAAAAGCAAGGTTCTCAGACAGACAGGTTCAAATCCTAATCCCACCACTTACAAGCCATAATATCTCTGGACTTCAGTTTCCTTATCTGTGGAGTGGGGACAAGATCCCACTTGGACTGAGTGAGAGAACACCTGAGAAGTGCTTCGCCCAGAGTAGGCACACAGTGAGTATTCAGTATTCAGGGTATGGGACTGCTGTGACAGAGGCAGCCTGCCTGGTGCACCTACACACAGTAGGTCTGTGGGAGCCCACAACGAGCTCCAAACTTGGACAGCAGCCTGTTCTCCAGGTCGACAACCGTCTCTCCGATCTTTTCGTCCTTGGAAAGGAGGTCATAGTCATAGAGAGTGATCTTCAGGTCCTTCTCCAGAGGCAGAGTGCAGGTCAGCTCGAACATCCTGCAGGGGTGGGGGCACATGTCAGAACAACACCAGCTCCTTGATATCACCCAGCACAGTGGGAACTGAAGGGGTAGCAAGGCTAGAGGTGGAACTCGAAAGCCATGCCCGGCCTCCTCCTCTCCTCACAGGAGTAGCCCTGTAGTCCACCGTCCTTGGGTCTCCTGTTGCTCTTGACACACACCTCCCTAGCACTCTACTGGTACTAGGCTAGTCTGAGTGTGTGAGAGTGAACATGTGGTTTCCCCAAATAACCTGGACTGGGCACATAGCAGCCATCTGATGGACTGTAGAAGGAACGAATTGAAACAGAATACTAAAACTGAAGTTTCCACCAGGATACCAGAAGACAAGAAATGTGAAACTCCAGACCAAGGTGCTCTGGAATCCACCAAGGGGACAGCCTGGGGCCCACTTTCAGGACTCTTCAGGCTTCACACCTACTTCCAGAGTAGGATAGAGAGAGGGTTTATGAAAAAATTTCTTTGGAGAGAGCTCCTGCTATGCTTTGAGACCTCTATGCCCCACAGTGGCCAAATGTGAGGGTGTTGGCCCTTCTGCCTGGTGTGTTCTCCGCAGGTGGGAGACTCAGCCTGACACATACCCAGGGAAGTGGAAAAGCTTGTGGAAGAGAGGACAGAGGGGCTGCATTGCTCCTAGCTTGAATGGGCCACCATAGGCCATACGAGAGCCACTTGGAATTCTACCCCATGGGGCCTGGGGCTCCAACTGTGAGACTGTGGAGAGGCCCATCTGAGAACCAGAAAATAGAGGCTATCAGCTAAAGGGACATAGTATTTGCCACATCCCAAAATCTGCAGTGGGAGGACTCATAAGAAAATAAATTGGCTTTAAACACCTGACACTCAGAGGATGGCAGGATGACAGGGGCAGTGAGATGGGCCCTCTCCTCATGTTACCCTAGTCCTGGCCCCACATGAGTCAGAGACCTCAGGGGCTGGCCAGAATGGGGAGGGGAGACACTAGACAGAGAGGCAAAGCCTTCCTTCCACACATGCACCCAACATGCTGTATACAGCTCTACCCAAGGTGGACCAGCTGGGAAAGGGGTACAAATAACCCTCAAGGCATCCAGGGTGTTTATAATTACACATGAATGGGCATTCTGGTTACCAACTTGAGACTGTGGGTTTATGACAAAGTGGATTGTCTGAACATGAGCAGAAAAATCGCCTGCCTGCCTGCCACGGTTCCCACCCCAGCAATGAGGAAGGTAACCCCCACAGAGTAAACGTTTACAGGATGCTGGCAGACAAACACAGAGTTGTGTTTTGATTATACCCCTTGAGTTGTGCTTGTTCGGCACATGGGCTATAGAAAAAGAATTTCTGCTCTGACCTGAGGGAAGTGTGAAACCCCAGGCAGACCAGCTTGGCCAACAAAGTGGGAGGGGTGTGTTTCTGCCCTCACTCCCCAACCTGGCCCTAAGTCCCAACCTCCACCCCTCCATTGTGGAAGAGGCCCAATCTGCTGTCCAGTCACCAAGGAACCTGTGCCCCCATGCCAGCCACTGGAGCTCACCAAGTAGAAATCCTATACCCACTCCCCCTATCTTCTCTGCAGCTCTCCCCCCATCCTCTCTGCAGCCCTTCCCTCCAGTTCTAGGTTGGTGGTGGTTTGTCCCAGCCCAGAACTGTTTCACCCTCAAAAGCAGCATTTTCCCAGGCTAACTGGATCCTTGCTGCAGGGCTGAGTGGCCACCACTAATGTATAGATACTGGCTTGTGAATTCAGTGTATTACTTGATATTGAGACATCACACGCCATCTCTTACAACTACTAGAGAAAGAGCTGCCAGTCTTCCTCTGTGATTCTCCTTTCTCACACCTAAATAAGTCCCATTCAAAGAGCAATCAAGTGTGGATGTCTGGGAGTGACTCCCACACAATGGGCACTGATCTTTCCTTTCCTCTTTCTTAGATTCAAGAAGCATTTTACAATCTTGAATTCACATCCTTCCTTATCCAGCCACTTTCAGACAAAGGTGCAACCATAAAAGAGAGTAATCACTAAATGCAATATGGGATGCTGGATTAGATCCTGGGACAGTAAAAGGACATTAGTGGGAAAATTGGTAAAAATTTTAATAAAGCCTAGAGTTTAGTAAATAATAAATAATGCACCAATATCAATTTTTTAGTTTGGACAAACATACCATGGTTTGGTAAGATGTCAACAGTGGGGCAAACTAAGGGAATTACAGAAATCGTACTATCTTTGTAACTTTTTTGTAAATCTAAAATTATTCCAAAGAAAAACAATGTAAAACAACAAAAAAAAGACTAACTAGCAAATGCATGTCTGGGCTTCTATTTAGATTTCTGATCTTTGAGGTAATTGTTTACATGTTTAACTAGGAGTTTCTGGCAGGATTCAAGCCTTTGGCATACAATGAAGAACTAGCCGAGGTTATGCCTCTCTAGACATGCAACACTCAGGGAACACAGCTTTGCTCCAGGAACCGGGGACTTCCTGGTGGCAGCCACATCTCCCCTACTGGGCTGTGGGTTATCCTCCACCTCAAGGCCCATGCTGTTCCCAACCTACTTTCCAAACACAGGCTCCAGAGTGCAGGGGATGTAGTTATCCTGGTCGCTCACCGATTTCTTCCCTATGGAAATCTTGATGTAGGGATCACACTGAAGGGGAGACAGAGAGCTTTTAGCAAAACCTCTTTCCCAGCACATCTTTGAGGCTTCTTCAGTCCTCTGCCCCCAGATGGGACCAGACGGACAGCCATCAAGGAGCTGCCATCCTGTCATCCTGCTAGGCCAGAGACCCCATCCTGTGGGCCATACCACTTGGCCCTGATGTGGGCCTCTAGCCACAGTCCAACAATGGGCATGGGGTACCTCAGTCCTCCATACTCCAAGTCCACTTCCCCACTGGGAGAAGGTGGGAGGGGACAGGCTAATATCCTCAGAAACACACCATTTTGTATCACACATGTGATTGGGTCAAGCTGGGGTCGTCTCTGTGACCTCTGCTTCAGCAGATAGAAAGGGAGAGAGAGGACCCGACTGTGTCAGCCCAACCCAGCCCTGGCTGGCCTTCCCTGAATGCCTCCAGCAAGCAACAGCATCCTCTCAGCTAGCCTCCGGGAGCAGCTGGGGCCAGAGAGCGCTCAGGGTCAGTCTTGGCACCAAGAAGTCTGGAAGTGCATGGATTGCCCATTGGCCACAACCACATCTTGGAGGCCACTGGTGGTGCCTGGTCATGGGATGTCTCCATTGTGCTCTGTGACCTCCCAGAAAAGCAGGGGCAGCTATGACTTCTCACCTTGAAAAGCAGGGCTCCAAGTGTAGGACACCAAGCCTTTACCCACAACTTCATGGGTACATGCTAGGCCTGTACCTATCTAAGGCGACAGGAGAGGACACCAGCCTTATACCCCTGAACTCCAGTCACCCCCAGCCCTGCCCCTCCTCTTCCCTCTTTCTCTCTCTTTCCAATTTTATTCTGCCTCTCCCCTTCCATCTCCCTATAACTTCAGACTCCTGTCCTCCTTCAAGTTCCTGTCTCTCACTCACGGCCAGGTCTACAGTGAAGCTATGAGGTACTTGCCTCAGGCACAAAATTGAAGCAAGGGCCAAAAAACCTCAGTAATCAAGATAAACAACATTTTAATGCAATATTTTAAAAAAATTAAAATCATTGCCAACAGTCCACGATCAAGAGTTTAAATAAAGACAGGATCAGTATTATCGACTTTTCTTTTTGCCTCGGGCCCCATCCCATCAGGGCAGGGGTACTGATCCTGTTCCACTGTTCTTTCCCCCACCACGGACAGTCCTATGAAGTCCAGGCCCAGCCTACACCTTCAATGTCACCTTTCCTTATGCCTCACCCTTGTGCTAAACACACACTAAGAAGTTTTCTGGCAAACTTCTGCCAAGGTTTTTCATGCCTACTAAAATACTGTTTTCTTCTCCCTCCCAGCCTATCAAAACCCCATCAATCCTTAAAAATCCTATTCCCGCAGGAAGCTTTCCTCATTATTCCAATGTCTTACACTGACTTTGGCCTTTTCTGAACTCCTAGAGCACTTGGCCCTTTCCCCATGTAGCCACATCTCAGTTTCGTATTTTTGTCTGGTTGCCCTGGTTTGCTGTGAATTTCCAGAAGTGGAGTTGTGTCCAGATTCTGAAGCCCTTCTGTACCTCTGGTTGGAGGTGAGAACTCTAGAAATGTTACCTTCCCATTGGGGTCCTTGGGCTGCAGGCCGAATGCTCGTATGATATAGATGCGGACCAGGCACTCCTGAGGCCCCTGGGCGGCCAGCTGGTGGAACTGTCTTGGGGGCACAGGAATGGCCGGGTCTTCTGGGAGGGGATAAATTTTGAAAAGGCCCTGAAAAGAAGGAGGAGTCAGCTTTCATTTTTACCATCATTGTCACCAACACAATCACCACTATGACTATTACTTTCATCTTTACCAGATTTGTCACCACCCAGATCACCAAGCCTAATGCCATCTCATCACCACCATCAGATTGTGCCTCAGCAGCATTATCATCACCGTCACCCACATGGTCACAGACATCGCCCACATGGTCACCAACATCAGCACTATGGGCATCATGGATATTCTACAGCACCCCTGCTCTCACCCCCTTCACTTACTACTGCCCCTCCAGGCTTAGGCCTCCCTGGATTAAGAACAGGTCCTCAAGGATTTACCTTAAATTCCCCAATGACAGATGGGTCCTCCATCTCCTCCTGAGTCTTGCCCCGGTAGAGCTTGAAGGTGTTACAAAAGTCAGACAGGCCCTCAAAGGCCTCCACATTCTCCAGTTCTGTGTCATAGACCTGCCATACATGGGGACAAGAGAAGGGGATAGGGAGAGACAGAAAGAAGAGGGATCAAAGGAAAAGGAAGAAAGGGAGGGAGAGAAGAGACAGAGAAGAAAATGAGGGGAAAAGCCACAAGCAAATTAGAGAATTACAGGCAAAGAGGAGGGCAGGTGGGAAGGGGGGAGATAAAAGAAAGGGCAGGGAAAGAAGAGACACAGGAGAGGGAAAGAAGAACAACAGAGATAACCGGGAGATTAAAGAGAGAGAACACAGGGAAAAAAAACAGGACAAGGGAATAAGAGAGAAAAACATTTGTTCAGCGTCACTGGGAAATACAGTTTTCTGATTAGTGTAGTATCCCAGGTTATCTTAGAGTCATCATATACATAGGTGGTACATTTTTTAAGAGAATAAGATCATAGTCAAACAAATACATAAAAAGCTAACTGATGTTTTATCAATATTTGAGGATTAGATCAGAACTCTGCAAAATTCAGGGGTCAGCATGTCCAGCCACAGCGCTCGCTGCCCAGGATGTCCCAATGGCAATGGTACTGAATGCCAGCTGAGCCCGTCTTTTGAGCGCCACTTCAAATCGGTGAGCTCGATTTATTTATTTCATTCCTCACAAACAACCAATGATTTTTACTTTTTCAGCAGTGTTTTGGAATTGCTTAGATCTAAACAAGGCAGTGGCTTGCTATTATAGATGATAATATATACCTAATAAATAGTGATATTCAATAACTTTGCATACATGCTAAATTAGTTATATTTGAAACTGACACTTCAGGTTAAGTTCTCATATTGCTAGATATTATTTCTCGTTTAGGTCTAGCTCAAGTTCTATCTCTTCCAAGGAAGACTTAATTATACAAATGATGTAGGTTCATTATTAAAATTATAAAATACAAGTAAATATAAAGGAAATATTAGTATTGCCTTATATTCTGATTCTCAAAAAATAACTTACTATTTGGTTACCATTTGATATGTATCATTTTGAATTTTTTCTTGCTTTATTTATATAGTTGATTCATTTCAATCAAAGGACCATTTTTTTCGTTATCAATTCTACCATTCTTTCTATTCTAGTTCCTTATTTCTGATTTTATTTTCATTATTTTCTTCTTTCTATTGTTTTAAGTTTTTTTATTCTCATTTCTTCAATTGAAGGTTTATTTACTCTGCTCTCTCTATTCTGATTAAAAAAATAGTTATTGCTATGAAATTGTCTCTGCTTACCACTGCTTTGGCATTGCCCCATTAGTTTTTGCTGTATAATGCTTTCATTTTCATTTCTTTGGCATTCCATAACCATAGTTTCACTTTTATTATTTGATCAAATAGCCAGGTGCTTCATTAGTTTCCATTCTTTCTTTTTAATTAATATAAGTTTTAAGGCTATAAACTTCTTTTGAACACTGCTTTAGCTATAACCAGTAAATTCTAATATGAAGCATTTTATCATTTCCCAGGTATTTTGTAATTTTGGTTTATATTTTCTCTTTCACCAAGAATTGCTAAAACAAAACAGGGGAGGGAGGTGAAGAGGGGTGGGGGGAAAAGGCAGAAAACTGTATTTGAATAATAATAAAAAAAAATTTTTAAAGAATTGCTGAAACAAAGGGTTTTTTTAAAAAAGTTCTAGATGGAAGAGACTCTTGAGGCTTTAGATCTTGATATTAAATTTTCATTTTATGGTATTATAATCAAAAAACATTGTCAGTGGTATTGCCACTTCTTAAAATTCATCCAGGTTTTCCTCACTGACTGTCGCATGGTCAGTTTTTGTAACTGTGTAGTCTCTATTTTCAGGCTACAGGGTTTAATCACGTTAATAGCCATGCTGGTTTTCTATTTCCTCTCATGCTTTTGTACCCTTGACTTGACATGAACTGAAAGAAGAGAATTAAATTCTCCCCTAGCTACCAGAATGCTTCCATTTCTCCTCATATCTCTTATAATTTCTGTTGTATAAATATTAATGTTGTATTATTTAGGACATAGATACTCTCAAAACTGTCATCTCTTGGAATTGCACCATTTAGCTTTATCAGGTGCCATTCTTTGTCTCACTTACCTTTGAGAACATGAATATGCTCTCATCTAATAAAGATGGAAGATTGTGACTTCTGCTTTCTTTTTAGTTGCATTTACCAGACACACATTTTCCCCATTTTTTATTTTTAGCCTTTATGAATATCTTCATTTTAGACTTTGACTTTGTTTTCATATCTGATCTAAATTTTGTTATTAATAAGTGATTGATACAACATGCATCGATATGATAGATTTTTAGTCTGTTTTTATGCTTACTTTTACATAGTTATATATTTATAGTTTTCTAGTTTCATAGATTTTTGTTTAATCTTTGCTTGTATGGTCTGTTGTGCATGTGTGTGTGTGTGTGTGTGATTCTTCTGACATCTAGGATTACCTGGGTTTATATTCTAATATTATTATAAATTTATATATATTAAGAATACACTTATTCCTCTACACCTTAGAAACAGTATTTATAAATTCCCTATTATAGCATGATTAATTAATTAAATTTTTTCTCCTGCCCTCTCCCTCTCCATCACCCAGTATTAGAGAATATTGTTTTCCTTAATATGTACCCCTGTACTCTTTGCTTATAATTTGCTTATACACCTATTATTTGATTGGCTAATTTTAAATAATGTCAACACTATTTGCTCTATAATATGGCAATCAGTGTCTTTACTTTGTATCATATCATCCTTTCTCCTCCATTTAATTTTTGTCAGTTTTATCATTTGTACATTTTCAGTATATATATTCATACTCTGTCCTGTCACCCTGACCCTTCCATTTACTTTGACTTTAGGTCTAACATAAAACATGGTCACAACAGTCCTTTTGCTGTGGTGTTCCCAGTCATCTCCCAGTTGGCAAACGTTTATTTCCTGGGAGTTTCTGAAGACGGGCTCATGGGAATCACATCCCTTGTTCCTGAACATGGGCATCTGGGTGTCCATGGCCTCTGTGCCTGGAAGGTGGCTTGGCTGAACATAAATCCTCAGTCACCCTTTCTTTCCTTGATGATCAACAGATGGTGCTTTATTGTCTTTGGGTGAAGAAATTGATGCCACCTTGACTTTTTCCTATTTTAAATGACATAATATTTTTGGAAGAAAAGAAGTATGACTACCCCAAAATATTCTTTATCTCTAATGGCCACTAATATATGCCAGGATATGTCTCAGGATTGACCAATCTGGGTCAATTTGTGCTGACACAAAGTAGACTTTCTAATATATATATATATATTCAAGTATTCTTCCACTTTAGTCAAGTTTTTTTAAAACTGCTTATGTCATTGTTTTGGTTGTCTTCCTCAGAAACTCCAATTATGCAAATGTTGGATCTCCTTTCCCTGACTTCAGTGTTATTTTCTCTTTACTTTTTTTTAGAATGCTTTCTTTATTTTCATTTTGTTTTGCTTACTTTTATCATTTCTGTCTTCTTTGCCCCTTCCTGTGTTTTCCAGTGTCGCCATTCTGCACTGGGCTCCTTCCAATTTCATGTCTCCTTCTCCTTTCCTGAATCCCATCAGCTCATATTTCACCTCTTCTCATCTACGATCATTTGAGTTCTTTCAGTTCTGCTTTGCATGCTGGCTACCCAGTTCTAAAAAGTTTTTAGTGAAATATTTTGTCAGCTCCTTGGCAAAATTTTTGGGTGAGTACATATCTTTTTTTTTAGCTAGGATATGTATTTTCTCTTCTTTTTTCATAACATTTTAAAATCAATGCTCTTTTATTATTACTTGTCATTAAAGGTGTTGGTTTTCCTAGATGAATTACTTATTTTGTTCCACTGCAGATACAGACAGCTTCCTCCAAATATAGCCCATCTGTGTGATTCCTGCGTAGCTCCACCTTTGCAGCTTCTCTGAACCAAAAGGTTCTAAGAGACTTTTGTCACCAGCATGAGTCTGTCTTCCAAGTTCTCATATTCATTGTGGTAAGCAAGGGATGGAAGATTTGTATTTTATGGTTAAACCTCAATTTCAGTAACTATATTTTTAACTATTTAATAAAATTTTTAAGCACACACAGTAGTAAACAGAATAGATATTAAGCACCCATGTACCTGTAACCTGTCTTAAATAATTACCAGCATTCTTGTATTAGGAAGTATGGGGGTTTTCTGAGATCTGCTACCACTGTGACCTCTCATCACTTCCGTGCATCATCTCCTAATTTACTGCTGAGTGGCTTCTCCCCAATTCCAGTTGCCTTTGGACAACTCTTACATGTATTTTGGAGTCTGTGAGGTTTATTTGTTTCCAACTTTTACTGAAAATGGAGTTTATGGGTTTGAATGATCTCCAGAAGAAAAGGGGAAAAATGCTGACATATGCAGTCATGTTCATACTGGAAGTCCCAATAAAATACTTTTTCAATGTCTAAGTAGTTGGTCTTTTTGTTTAAACTTTTGTTATTAGTTTCTCATCTTATTACATTTTAATCCATCTTGTATGATTTTTGCTCTTGGTAACATATTACTAAACTAACATATGGTCAAATGTTATAAGTGTTCTCTGAGCATTAGGAAAAATGTATTCTCTATTTTCTTTATTACTTTTATTCTCTATTTTAAAGCTACTTTTAATATAGCTTAAAAACATTTACCTTATTATTTATATTTTTTATTTCCCTGTTTATTTGTTTGCTGCTTCATCTGTCTAGAATAGAGGCCCATTAAAATCCCTACTGCAACTTTAGTCTCCATCATGTCATTCTTTCACTCACGTGAAGTGTGGGTTTATACACTCCTATCATTTTTGCTTTGAGTATTTCTCACCTTTATTGTGCAAACACGTTTGGGAGTTTCTTTCATTCAGATGTGCACATTTTATTTATATAAAATACTCTATTTTGTTTCCTTTGCTTTTAAATTCCATCCCTTTTTTGTTTGCATTGATTTTATTTTGATTGCCAAAATATTTAATTTTCAGCCATTCTAAGCTGTATTGCTTTAGATATGTCTTTGAAAGACAGTAATAAATTTTAACTTTTGATATAATCTGAGCCCTTATCACTGAATAGAAGCATTTAATCTAATTTATTAGGAAAACTAATATATTCGTTCTTTTTCTATTGTGTTTTTCTATGATTATTGGGGGCTTTTTATGCCCTTACTGTATCTTTTATTTTCTATCTTTTGCAATTGAGACTAAGAGCTGGTTTTCTTCTTCCTATGCTAATAATTATCAAAATATATTTTTGTGTTTTCACATTGTGTACTCCATTCACTCCATAATGCTACAGGCTGTTTTTCAAAGACTCATGTTGGTGGTGGTGGATTTCTTCTATTTATTTATCCTTAAAGGACCAGTGTTCCTTCCAGGTCTGGTTTCTCCCCAGTGACAGGTTGAGCACACTCTTTCAGATGGCCCATCTGCACTTGGACACCGTCAGGGATCTCCTCAGAGAGGTCAGGCTGGAAGGCTGGGCACTAATTCAGTTATTCAACATCCAAAGGAGCAGCAAAGGGCCAGGGTCATGGGCCACCCCAGCAGGAATTCTCATTCTTACTTGGTTTTTCTCATGTTTTTGGCAAGGCTACAGTAAAAACATGCCAAACCTAATGTGGTGGACCTTCTTCCTGGTTCATAAATAGCTCTGTCTCTTTGCCTAGCCTCACACACCCAACTACCAAGTCAATGAAGAACTTGCTGCCTAAGGCCCTGTCTCTGTGTGTCCAGATCTTCAGATGCAAGTCACCTGGAGCCAACACCTTGTGACATCACCCTCCAGGGTATGCTCCAAAGGCTTTCAGGCTGCAGAGTTACCTGAAAGTCCTAGCCACCTACTCCTTCAATGAGTCCCAGCGCCCATTCATCAAATCCCCTACAGGATGCTCTTTGAGCTTCTCCCACATCTGACAACCTTTGCCGTCCTTCTCTAAGTAAGGCAACCAGATTCAGCAGGTGAAAATATAGGACAGCTAGTTAAATTTGTATTTCAAATAAATAAATTTATATTTTAAATATTTGAAGTATACTTACATTAAAATATTCATTGCTTATCTGAAATTCAAGTGTAACTGATTATCTTAAATTTTATCTGGCAACCCTCTCCAGGACACTATGCAACTCCTTTGGGAAGCAATTTTGAGTCACCTCTGGTTACCTTTTTCAAATGTAGGCTACTTTTGAAAAGCATAATTGTACTTGTGAAATTTCTTCAAAATAATAGAATTTTTCTGACTCCTCTCTGGTTTTGTCTTTCTGTTTGTTTGGGTGGGCTTCTTTTCTTATTTTCACAGAAAAAGAAGTTACCATATTTTTATATTTACTAGGTGATTTCTGTCCCAATTGTAGGTGTGGGATAATCAGAGCAACATTCTCAAGGGCCTTTCCTCTCAATTTCGATACAAACCTTTATTATAGAAGAGTTCAAATAACCTCAAAAGATACAGAACAGTATAATAAATCCCTATCTATTCATCTCTAAGTTTTAATAATTTTCAATGTTTTGCAATTTCAATAATTTTTAATATTTTGAAAATCTGTCAGAGGACCACTCATACCATCTATCTTCCCCCTTACTATTTTTTTAACATTTTAAAACAAATCCCAGGCATCATTTCGCCCATAAATACTTCAGAACTTTCTAGCATTCTCCCAAAAATAACTTCTTGGTTATCCCAGTCCACACTGTCTTCTTGCTCTAGATCTGTAGGTAACCTTTCTCACCTCAATTAATTTATTAGGATTCTTCAGTTCAGGCACCAAATGAGGAAACAAATACAAATATGCATGTATATATAAACATATACACACACATATACATATACATATACATATACATATACATATACATATACATATACATATACATATTCTTTTTCTGGCGTGCCTCCTACTACCCATCGCATGTGCCCAGGAACTGATAGAAGGGAACAGTTGGAGAGGCCTTACCTTTAGAGTGTCAAAGTCCTTCTCCAAGTAGGAGCCACACTTTTCTCTCTCCCCTATCGAGGCAAAGAATTTGCTCCACCAATCAATGAACTCCTCCTCCTGTATGGGTAGAAAGACACCCACCATTTCAGAAACAGAACTTGTCAAGCACGGTTCTTCTGGACCAAAAACCTAGCAAGGCCAATGGGTTGGTGTGGACTTTGAAGTTCCCCTGCTGGGTCAGTTCAGGGGAGCAGAGAGCTGGAACTTCCCATCCCTCCAGGGGCACAGACCAGAAAAAAGGTTTGAACATTCGCTTGGTATTAAGAGACAGAGGCTCTAGCCTGGGTCCTGTCCCCCATTCATTGTGGGATTCTGTTAAGCTCTTGGGTCTCCCTTTTCCTTTCCATGAAGTGGATATAAATCATCATGATAGTTGAGGCTAAACTTTGACGGTACATAGGGTAACTCTTTGGGGAAAATGTCAATAATGTCATTTAGGAATGTCATTAATGTGCTATTTTTAAATAAAATGCAGTAGATCTAGGAAAATTCAGATCCACAAAGAGCTATCCTGCCACCTCTCCAACCAGCAAAAAGAAAAAGAAAAGAAAGCATCAGAAATCAGAACTCAGCTTCCCCCAAGGTCAAATCAAGGTTGAATCCTTGAAAAATTAACAAATACTAAGTATCCATTATTCAAAAGATACTACATTGCATGGGAGAAATTATGTGAGGAGAAAGGAAGTCTGTGACAACCCATGTTCTGCCCTGCCCTTCCTCCATTTACTCACATTATAGGAAAAGGTAGACAAGCCTGCAGTGACACACACTGGTTGGTCTCTCCACCTTTTAACTCCCTCTGCACTTGCAGTGTCTACAAGGTCTCATAGCTTTTGTGTCTAGAATGCTCCTCCAGCTGTGTCCTGTCTATGTATGTGTGGGTCCTGTCATCCCACGAGCAGCAAACTTCCCAAAGGTGGGATGGTCACTCTTCCTGAGGTGTCCCCCAAAAGCCATTGGGCTGGGCACTTGATCTGTGCCTGTGAGTACCACTGAAGCTCACCAGTTCAGTGGGAAGGGCCAAGGACAAGGTCTAAGGATAGACCATCTGGGACTCCTCTATATGAGGGGGTGAGCTAGGAGATCTCCCTGGAGCCTGCTCTGACTTTATAAAATTAGTTGAATGTCTACCATGGAGTTTCTGGAAATGTTGCTGGCTCCCTTTAAAGCAATGCCCAGTCCTTTGAGTTCCAACATATTAAGGGTGAGCACAAACTGGAAAAGGCTGTGGGAACTGGAACAGGCACAATGGGGAAAGGGTGAATGAGGTTCTCAGAGTCTCACCCATCCTGGAACTGTGGCCCTAACAGCCTCTGTGTGGCCAGAATGTGGTTCCAGACACCCAGCACAGAGAGCAGGTGTCAGAGCAAGGCTGAGATCGAAGAGAGTTGTTGTCTGAACCACTTACCAGGAGGGTCTTCTGCAGCCAGAAGAGAGGAAAAGAGGTTCAGATGTGTTAAGACATAGGGTAGCAGAGCTTTCTCACTTGTAACCACTCTTGGAAAAGCCAGCATAGGGCAAGACAGACCTTAGCCTGATGTTTTAAATTCATTTTAAAGAAAAAGACACTATGGATCAATAAATGTACACAGACATGCATATCAAACCCACACAGTCACCAACACATGGAAGACTATATTTACACAGACATGCTAAAATGCACATATACCCCCCCCAAATACACATATTAACACACGGGAAAATATGTATGCAGAGGTAGAAATGGTTACAATGGAATTTCATTGAGCTGTCTGGGCCTTCCTCTGTCTTTATTTTCTTCCCCAGACCAGGTACTTAAAGATCCAAGTTTGCCTCAGGCTCAAAGTCAGGTATACACAGGCAACAACCAATGTGTTTTGTACAAAGAAATGACAGGAACACAACAGTTCTAGGGAAGTTATTATACTTCCCTCAGTCTTGAAAAACCAAGTAAAATGTTGAAAAAGAATATGGAGACAGAGAATTGGAATAATACCATTAACAGTGTCAGTTAAACAGACAAACATGTAATCTAAACACAGAAAATATACCTTCTTGTCCAGCACCATTGGAGCACTTAGAAAAATTAAAAGCCACAAAGCAAATCTCAATAAAGTCCAAAAAAAAAAAACCATTATCAATCACATTCTCTAAGCAGATACACTAAAACTGAAAAATAATGGGAAATTTCAAAATTAAACATGACAAACTTTTAGAAATTTAAATGTACACTCTTAAAACCCTCCTCCGTTAAAGAGAAAACCAAAACTAAAATCACAGATAACTTAGAAAATACCAACAGTGAGAAGCTTATGTCCACAAAGCTGTGAGTGGTAGACCAGTGTGCCCTGAGAGGGAAATCAGTGTTAAATATTTTTGCTTTTATACAAAAGGGATGAAAATGAATTATCTGATAACTCAAAAAATTAGAAAAAGAAAAGTAGGAAGACCAAAAACTGAAAATGACAAGAAGAAATCAATATATTAGAAAGAAGACTATTATAATTAATTAAATCCCATAGCAAACTTTTAAAAGACCAATAAAATAAATACTTAACAAATCTAATGTTAAAAAGTGGGTATACCATTAAAAATCAAAAAGATCAAATAAAAAGATATGGGGAGAATAAAAACATTAGGTGCTTTACTACACCCAAATTAATGACAAAGCCTTGGAAAATCTAGAAGTGGGATAATTTTCTAGAAGAAATTTAAATTGCCAAAACTGATTCAAAAGTAATAGAAAACATGATAGATCAGTAACCCTGAAAATGGAAGAGATCCCAAAGAACTACTGTACTAAAAAACAAACAAACAAACAAAAAAAAAAGACATCAAGCCAACCGAGATGGTTTCTTTGAAGGAAAAGCCTATCAGTCTTTCAAACACTAAATCATCTTTTGTTCCACAGCATAGAAAAAAGATGAAGTTTCCCCATTCATTTTGTGAAGCCTGACCAAGGCACACACACACATAGATAAATTCTATTCCCGAATAAAGATGCAAGGATCCTATACAAAACACTAACAAATAGATGGCTGCAGTAGATCTGACATTGTCCAGCCGAATTATTCCAGAAGGCAGGAATGGCTCAATACCACTGAGTAAGAAGAGAAAACTCACCTGATCATCTATAACAGAAATTTGGCAATGATGGCCTACTGGACCGCCACTGGGTTTTGTAAGTTAAATATTACCTATGGCTGCTTTTTCAGATACCAAGCAGAGCTGAGGAGTTGTGACAAAGACTTTATGTCCCCAAGTTTAAAATATTTACTCTCTGGCCATTTAAGAAAAAATTTGTCAACCTCTGATCCATAACATGCAAAAAAGAAGCAGGGATGAAAAGGGCGAGAAAATTTTTCAGTTATTCTTAAATGGAATACTCAGTGAATTAAGAATAAAAGGAAGTTTTCTTAGCAAAAAAAAAAAAGAACACCTTAAAGGAATAACTAGCATTGTGCTTAATAGTACCCAGTAATTCTCCCTTCTGGGCTTTTGGACATAAGGCTGCCTTCTGCTAATAGTTTTCACATGATATGAATATAAAGAAGCAGTAAAATCAGGGCAGTTGGGAGCCAGGACTTGGGAGTCAGACTAACAGGGTTCAAATCCTGCCACTCCTACCTGTGACCCTAGGCAACTATTTAACTTCTCCATGCCTCAACTAGCTTATCTGTAAAAAGGCAAAATAATAGCACCAATCTGACAAATGTATTGTGAGAAATAAAATGAGTCAATATGTATAAATTGCTTACAATAGTGCCTAGTACATAAGTGTAATATGTTTACTGCTAATACTGATAATAGTATTGCTCTTTTTGTCTGGACCAGGTTGGCTTCTTGTCTAAGGACCAGGCTGCTCTCTCACAGACTGCTAGCAGGAGCGTGGCTGGCCAGAGCTTTCCAGAAAGCAGTTTGCCTGCATATTTCCACATCCTTAAAAATGTGGGTCACACTTTGCCCCATCATTCCTGTTCTTGAAATGTAGCCCAAGGAAGTAATCACAGATACTCATGAAGAATTGACTTCATTTATAATAGTTAAAAACTGGAAACAACATAAGTGTTCAGCAATAAGGAACTGTTTTGGTAAACTGAGTGTCCATATTATTAAAAGTTATGCAACATAAAAATGATGCTATAGAAATATATTTACTGACATGGAAAGTTACTCTCAACTGATAAAATTTTCAAATGGTTAAAAAGTGAATAATGTGATTTTATTTTAATAAAAGGACTGAACCCCAAATGTTCACCACAATTGCCTCTGAATTATAAGATTATAAATGTTTTGTTTATTCCTTTTATTTTTGTGCATCACTCATATTTTCTAATTTTTCATTATGTACATGTAGTCCTTACCCAATTTTAAAAATTAAGGATTTTTAAAATAAAGAAGAGCAATAGCAGGATGCTTCAAAAAACATTAGTAAGAAAGTGAAAAGATAATTCACAGAATGACAGAAAATACTGCAATTTATATATCTGATAATGGATTATAATCAGAATATATAGAGAACTCACATAATTCAATAATAAAAACACAAATAACCCAATACAAAAGTGATCAATGCATTTAAATAAACATTCCTCCAAAGAAGATACATATATGGCCAATAAGCATATGAGAAGATAATTAACAACATTAGGTATAAGGAAAATGCAAATCAAAACCACAATGAGAAAACATTTCACACCCACTAGGATGGCTATAGTCAAAGTCAGAAAACAACAGGTGTTGGTGAAGATCTGGAGAAATTAGAACCGTCATACTGCTGCTGGGGGCATGGAGAGTCACTTTGAAGAATGGCCTGGCAGTTCCTTAAACAGTTAAACAGAAAGTTACCATATGACCCAGCAATTCCACTCCAAGTTATATATCCAACAGAAGCGAAAACTTGTCCACACAAGAACTTGTACATGACTCTTCATCACAGCACTATTCAAAATTACCAAAAAGTAGAAACAATCCAAATGTCCATCAAATAATGAATGGATAAAGAAAATGATATATCCATACAGTGACATATTATTTGATAATAAAAAGCAATGAAGAAGTGATGCATGCTACAATAT